GGTTATTTAAAATATAACCAATCTATAAAAATAATCGTGTAACTGGTCAAAACTTCTGCTATAAAAGCTTCTGTGAGTGTGTCATAGATTCTTTTATTTTCTCAGCTAACACACCTCAGGGAGGAAGCAAATTATAGACAAACCTTTGTCTAATACTATTTGAATAATAATAGTCTCTTATAAAATGCATTGTCACAAAACAACAATAGAACTTCAGAAAATATATAGCTCTGTACAATATATAAATATCTCAAAACTTTTGAATTGGGAATCTTAAGATAGACCTTAATTTTGAAATTAATCCATATATTGAATTAAAACTTTCCACATGCACATATTTAATTTGTGTTTGACATGAAATTACTTATTTTAAAACATTTGAAATTAACAGATTAATATGTGAAATTTTCTTAATTAAATCGTCTGCTGCAAATTTATCAGCAGTGGTAAGAAGTTTCATAATTTGTACACTCATTGTAGTATTGTTTGAATGGTTGCATCACTGAGCTTCAGATTGGCAGGGCACAAAGCATGGATAGGGAAGCAAATTGGAAACACTTTTGATAGAAAGGTCATTTGGGACACTAGGACTTGAAAATTTTCATATCAAAATAACCACAAGAGTATATATTTGTTAGCTAGATTCACTGGCACAAAATAACGAATTTGGGGAGGGGGGGTTACTGTTGAGCATTCAACTTGCATAATAACAAAGATATTATTGAATACTTGAGGACCTACTGCTCAACGAATTTTACCATTTTTTTTGTTGCCACACAAAGTGCTCATCTATATCGGAGTGTATGCCCACTATGCCAGCTATTCTCTTTAAGTAACAGAATTGCAATTTCGCTACTGTTCACGACTTTATTTTCTGCGGCCCTCGACAGTCAGTGGTCAGCATCACGCCCCGGCCGGCTTTACCCCCGTAAAGGACCCCGTCACCCATTGTACAGGAGGCTGGGTGGGCCCCAGAGCCGGTCTGGACGCAGAGGAAAAATGCTCTGCCCCCGTCAGGGATCGAACCCCGGTCGTCCAGCCCGTAGCTAGTCACTATACTGACTGAGCTATCCCAGCTCATTACAGAGTCAGTACCGCCAACATTACTTGTGAATTCTTGTAACAATCCCGAAGATTACGGAACACAAGTACAAATACATTTATTTATTAATAATACATTTACATACATATTTCACTTACTCCCATGTGACCAACCAAACGTCAGACACTCAGCCAGTCTGTAAGGTGTAAACTCTGTATCGTCAGTTAGCTTGTAATGAAAATTCTATAGACACGTTGCACACTGTCCATTGTCTGCAGTACGTCTGATGGAGACAGTGTTCTGGTTCTGTTCCCATCTTCAGGTGATTCATGATCATTATACTGACAGATTCATTTTCTGGTGACAGGTGGGATCAAACCTGGGACCATTTGAATATTAAAGCTAGTGCAATGAAAAATAGATCAATGGACTGGTCTAGAAGTGGCTGTTACATGAAACTCTATTTATGTTACATGTTAGGTTATGTTCTGTACCAAAGCAGAGGGAGTCCTGCTATTTTGATGAATATTGATTATTTCAGTTTTCTAATGAACCTGTTCTTCCCTTTGTGGATGAATCCTGCTTTATCCCATTGTATTTGATAACCCACGTTCCAAGAGTATTCTGCTAATTTGTACACAGAATATTTCTCCCATTTCTGAATTGCATGTTTGGTGGTTTGGGTTTGGTTTTTCTGTCACTCCTTTGCATTCATGTGGGACGCTGCGTATTCGATTGTTTGATTCCTGTACATTTCTTATTTAGTCTTTTTAAGTATGCTACTTGTCCCACACTGTAGCCGCGCGGTCTGAGGCATCATGCTTCGGACCGGCGATACGGAATATGCGCTGGTTTGAGTCTCGGGGGAGAAGAAATTTTCTCATGAGCTTTCGACCAGTGTATGGGACCGGTGCCAACCCAGCATCGTGAGGAAATTGGGGAGCTACAATGAGTAGCGTAATCCGGTCATGAAAACTAGCAATGGCTGGGGGTTCGTCGTGCTGACCACACATCATCCTATATCTGGTTGGATGATCGTTCACTTCTGCTTAGGCATGTGAACATGAGGCCAGCTAGTCGGCTTTGGCTCTCAGAGGGCCACGGATAAAAAAAGTATGCTACTTTGCAATATTTATAATATGAAAGCTGTATGTACTCTGAATTTTCTCGCAATCTGGCGAGCTTTTTCTGATACTTTTGCATGCATGATACTACCACAATACCTTTCTGTTTCTGGCTGTTGCTGAGAATATTTTTTTTCAGAATTTTCGTGGGTATCCACTTCTATCCTACTTTCCAAAACCTTTAGTATACCAATCCAAATATCACTGATGCTGACAGTGACATTTAAATAAATGATCACAGTGCAGAATTGCTCATAAAGATATGATAGCAAATATCATGTATTTCCAGACCATTAAAATGAAAATGTTTTCATTTATATTCTCTTTGAACATACAGTAGGGCCCTGCTTTTCAGCGCTCCGCTTTACGGCGATTCGCTAATACGGCGCTCAACAGCTGAGTCAGAGAAGTGCATCCGGCGCAATCTTCTCGTCGCTGATTCAGTCTGTTTACAGCTTTTGTGCGCTGCGCGTCTCCGTATTTCTGGCAATTTTTCAAAGTTATTACAAACTGTATATTTATGTAATATTTTTGTGTTACTACAGAGTAATTACAAAGACGTCTAAGGGTAGTAGCGATAAAAAGAGGAGTCGTAAGCCTCTTACTTTAAATGCCAAGTTAGATATAATTAAACTTCGTGAACAAGGCATGTCTATGGCCGAGATAGAACGTAAGCTAGGCCTAGCTCACCAAACTGTTAGTGCCATCGTGAACGCTAAGGAGAAAGTGTTAAATGAAATTAAAAGTGCCACACGAATGAACTCTAAAGTCATAAGAAAAAGAGATAGCCTTATTGCTGACATGGAAAAACTTTTAGTTGTGTGGATTGAAGATCAAA